TACATTCAACAGGGAAGTAGGAATATTTATTTGCTTTGGGAATCGTGATGTTGAAAATAACTCACTTCAAATTTTATTCTATTCCAAATTGTACGTTTCCAATTGACTTCTCTATTTCACTTTCTTTACTCTTTCTTTTTCTTAATTTCCTCTCCATTTATCACTTTAATCACGAGATCTTTACTCAATTCTTCAGTTCTTCCTTATTGAATTTCCTGTCGTCATGTCAACAACTGAACAAAGACTTTTTTGTGTTTTTCTTAACATGTATTCCTAGCTTGTTTCTGTTATACGTTATGTAAATATCAGTCTCAATGTGACAGTTAGTATATGTTATAGGACGCCATTCTGAGTCACTTTAAGATATAATTGGACATTGGACGAGAACGTAGGACCTCGTATGTGTCCACATATTATTGCTGTATCATGTCCAATTTAAGAAACTTACTTATTTAGGATTTAACAAATTGCGCACGAACATTTTACCACATTTTTAGTCTAAATATAAGCGAAAATCATTGTTTTCTTTCAATTGAGCGCGCGCGAAAGACGTGATGGTGTCAGCACAGTGCGCATGTCCTCTTTGACACACTCTAATCAGCCAATCAGCGCGCGAGAATTTACACAAATGTGGTAAAATACAAATTAGACAACAGAAAAGGGACAGGAATGAGCTGTTTTTGAGATTCTAGAGATTCTCATTCTAGCAGCAAGTTCTCTCACACTATATGTGTGTATATATACTTGTGCATGGAACTATTTTAGTTAAACATTTCATTTAGATCCGCATTATGAAAAAAACGAACCCATTGTAAGGCAGCCTAATAATATCCACTTCCCATCCTTTGTTATTATAAACACAGATAAACGGCCCTTCACATTAACTACAGAGTGTATGCAAAAGCGACAATGAAAATTTTCTTGACTTATACTATTTTATTTTATTTGATTTCATATTATATTTTTGCAATTTTGCTATTTTGCAGTATTCCTAAAATAGAAATAGCGGTGCGCGTCATTTCGGCATTGTACTGTTTTTCAACAAGGAAGTAGGAATACTTACTTGCTTAGGAATCATAACAAAAAGTCACTTCAAATTCTATTCCAAATTGTAGGTTTCTAATTGACTTCATTATTTCTCTTTCATTACTCCTTTTGCTTTTTCCTCGCCATTTATTTCTCTACTGATATTTTTGCTCAATTCTACAGCTCTTCAGTGTTGAATTTTCTGTAGTTGTATCGACAAGGAAATTTGAGTGGTCGCTCGCGTTTTGCCAGCTTTTCAACCAATAAAAAAATACTTGTAACTAAAATATATATTCTTGGAATTTTCTTTGTGTTCGATTAATTTCCTTGGATGTGCCACTTGTTTGAGCGTAGTCATTAGTTTTAAAAAGAATGACTAGCTATCCTTCCATCGAGGAAAAATCTAATCCATGGACGAATAAAGTAAACATATTGAAGAATAAACTGTCCAAATATCTCGAAAGACAAACATCAATTAGTCAGGCTAGGGGAATCTTATAATCAAATAGAAGAAAGTGATGTTGATGGTTTCGGCCCTAAATCACTCAGTCATCGAAGTGTTCTCAGCAGGTGCGTAGCAAGATTTGAAATAGGGCAGAGGGGGAGGGGACGTGCCCCTCTACCTACGCTAGTGATTCTCATTGAATGTATGAAAAAAGTGGACAAACACATACGTTATATGCACGTCTTAGCAAGAAAATCATGTGTTTTTCAAATCATCTTTATTTTGTCCTTGGTCGGTACAACAGACTGACAATGATTACACTGGTCTTATCTTCATCTCAGCTCTCTTAGCGGAATAGTAATGACCCTTCCAGTGATACCAATTCACACCGTCAGCATAGGACTTGTGCTTACCGTGGTGGTACAGACCATTAAGGTTGGAGCTGTGGCAGGCATTGTACCACCAGGCACCCTTGAACTGTACAGCACAGTTACTACCACTCGACTTATCAT